AGACAATTATAAAATAGTGTGGCAGGGACTTTGACAACGATTAAGCATGGAATGCTCAGGAATTCAAAAGGAGGAGCCCTAACTCAGAGGGCAGATTGAAGAACTAGACAAAGATAGCATGGAAGAAGTTATAGGAGGCTATCTCCAAAATCTTCTTGAGTTATTAAAAAAAATTAATTTTGGAGTCGTCAAATAGAAACGATGAGAAAACTCAGCTTCCATTTATGGTAAATAAAGAGGAAAATCAAGTAATGTGGCAAGGATTGTAAACACCAGGGCTACTAATAGTATCAGGGCTTATAATACTATCACGGATTTAATTTTACTTCAGCACTTGTTACTTAGTTTGTACTGAAATTACTTATGTGATGTCCCAGAGTGGTGGATTATAAAAATCATGTTGCAAATTCAGATACACTGAATATATTGTATTTCTGTCAACAGAGTTGTACAGGGCATGCGAGTTCAGAAAAAGGAAAGACATCATGGTGCAATGAGATATTAACTGTCATTTTATAAAGGATGGGTGGAATTAGCCCAAAGGGGTGATATTTTAATTAAAAAAAAAAAAAAGAACAAAGGTATGATGTGATGTATTGAATTTAAATCACTTTGATGGGGCCAGCAGGTGGTATGGTGGCTAAGGTGCTAAACTCCCACATGGCCAACTGTGGTTTGAGTCCCATACTCAGCTTGAAACTCACACCAGATACTTGTGTGTGCATGCCTAAAATCCAGAGAGGAGAATGAAGAGGGGGTTGCGGCATGGCCACCCTCATGCCCAGAGTGATTTCTCACTTTCAGTCTGTCTGTCCAGCAAATGCATGCACCCTATAGCAAAAATCTGTTTAAAAAAATTACTTTGGAAAAATATTCTTATTAGGGTCTGTATATGACACCATGTGTGATATATGTGGAAAAGTAGAAGTGACAGATTATGAAGAGCAAAGGAATATGGAATGTATTCCACAGACAAAAAGAAGCCAACCAAGAAGTTTAGGAGCATGAAGCAGAAATTTAGGAAAAATAACCTGGTGGGGGGCACTGTTTAGTCTGGGCTAGTAGAAAAGTCTAGCAATATTCTCAAATGTTATGTAATTAGGGATGAGAAACATGAAAAGAGAAGGAACCAATCTCTTGCCAAAAGATGGCAAAGGAGAGGGAACAAAAACAACAGAGCTTCCAAAGCCAAGTTACAGGAAATTAAGAACATGAACAGAAGATCAAGAAAGGTTTTAGGCATGAAACTCTGTAATGAAAGGTGATGAATGTCATTGGGTCATTAAAATTACCAGGTCATTTAACAACACAGAAAACTAATACTAGATAAGAGAAATGAAGGCCCAGCTGCAGTAGTGTACATCGTGTACAATGCTACTTGATAGGCTAAGGCCTCATGGTAGGTCTGAGTTTGACTCCTGGCCCATCCTGAAAACTGTGTATACTTTTGTTCCAGCTACACAGGAGACTGAAGCAGGAGGATCTCAAGCTCATGAGATTCTGTCTTTAAAAAAAAAAATAGGGCTCGCTCCAGGCAGCTGGATTGTATGTGACTGAACCTATGGTTTGAGGCCCAGACCCAACAACTTGAGAAACACACTGGGCATTTGCCAAGGATGGAAGGATGGAAGAGAAGGGACCACAGTATGACCATTCCTTATTGGAAGTGTTCCTCATCGGAGGTGGTCCTTTAATTCCTCTCCCCTTTTTTCCCCTTCTCCCTCTCTCTCTAGTGAGAAAATGTGCCATCTGGCAAAAATAAAAAAGAAAAAGAATTTTACCATAGTATTTTAAAGTTTTAAAATTAATTTTATATAAAGCTAAATACTGCATGAAGACAAAAAGATAATTAGCATTAGGGAATCTTCTAGCATTACAGTTAAAGTACCTGCAGTTTAGTAAGAAACTTGTTTCATTTACTCATTTACTTAATACTAAAACTGAGTTGTTGAGATAGAGATTAAACTAACAAAACAGAACTTTATATTGTTTCTTTTTTCACATTAACATCCATTTTTTCACTTATTAAAAATATAATTATTCTATTTTATACAGTATAAAATATGATTATGTTCATCTTATGAAAATTTAAAAAACTATTATTATTTGTAGGTCATCTTTAAGGAAAATAGGTACAAAGAAAAGAAAAGCAATTTAAAGAACACTGTCTTAGTCTGCCATGAGCAAATGTCACTTTAATAAATTCTCAGATAAATTGCTTCTGAGGAGAAAAAAATGTAGACTATTAGTATTCTAAGGATTGCCAATATTTTTAAGATACTGCTTTGTTACTTTTTACTTAAAGATTAACAATGTGAACATACCACCTATTTTTAAAATTTAGATGTACCTTATGACTTGTACAATGCATTTCTTTAGAGATGCCATCAACAGAGCAGTGGCTGAGTTTCTCAGGGCCAACAAAACAGGATGTTGTCCAAGACCAGAAACAGTTGGTGAAGCTGGAAGAAACCGTCCAATGTACTGCTCAATGACATTCCCAAGCAATTGATTGGAATAGGCATTTGCGTTTTGAGAACACACAATACACATGCCCTATAGAGAAAAAAAAGAAAGAAAGAAAATATTAAGTGATAAAGTATAAAAAAATAAGAACTTGCTAATTAGTAGTGTCCCAACATGCCAGGATTTGCAATGTACACAATAGAAAATTTATTGCATCAAAATAGATAATGTACATAAAGTACATTATGTACATTGATCTTGAGTAACACATAAGCTATGGTATTTCATTAAGCATGCATATCTTTGGGACTTGGACAAAGGAAGCAGGGAGATGTACAGGATGACAAAGGAGAGTTGTCTTCTCATCCTCAGAAAAGTTGACCACCACATTCATCAACTACATATATATGTAATTATAAAGCTATATATTTTGAAGTCAATCTTTTATGCAGAGTACTGATTATTTTATCTAAGACTAAAATTTATGCTAAAAGTCTCTTGTTAAAAAATATGATATATTTTTAAAAACATAAGTAACAAGCGGAAAAGGAAGACTGATAACAAAAAGTCAGAAGTTTTCCTATGTCCAGTACTATGCTGTGTACTTTATATTCATTAGCTCGTTTAAATTTCTCAGAAAACCATTGAGTTAGGATCATTGTATCTCCATTTTGTGGCTAAGGAAACTGAGATTAAGAGACTTTATGAGCGGGGCCAGCAGGTGGCATAGTGCTGAACTCCCCACATGACCAACTGCATTTCAAGTCCTGGATCTGGTGGCTTGAAACTTGAGCAGGTACATGTGCCTGCCCAAAATCCAGAGGGAAAATGAAGAAGACATTAGGGTGTGGCAACCTCCTGGGGGTGATTTATTGCTTTCTGTCTGTCTCTGTCTCTCTGGTGAGCACACAAGCCCCCTAGCAAAAATCTTAAAAAAAAAAAAAAAAAGGACTTTAGCAGAATCTAGGCCACACAAAACTCATGTCATATTGTCTGTCTGCTCATTTAATTCCTTCCATTTACACAGCAGTTAACAAAATACTTTCATATGGATTATAGTATTTAATTCTTACAATTAAACGAATACCCTGAGAAAAAGAAACATTTTTCTGCTAATATTACTAAATATTACACATTACTAAATATAGATAATCGCCAACAAAACAATACAGTGTGTTCTAAAAGTTCATTTATAATTTGGCACTTTGTGATTCAAAATGTGCTTTCTTAAAGAAATAATTAGAAATATTTAAGTATGCATTTTAACTATAAATGGGTATTTTACCCAATAAGAAATTTTGATAATTTATTTTTAATGAAAAGTAGTATGGAACTGTTAAAATGCTAGCAAATGAACTGGGAGGGGGGGAGAAAAGACTGAACCCACCCCAGTTTTGTTTCTTGACTAAAGAAAAGCACATTAAATCCGAACATGAAATAACAAATAGATACTTTTCAAAAATTCCAAAGCAGAAAGCTAGACACCTTGAAGAAATCTAAGATTCAGCTTAAAGTCAATTCTGTCAATTAGGTCATTTGCTAACATTTTCAATTTATGACTTAAGCTTAGAATAATTTTTACTAAGTAGGCTGTTCAGATTATTTTAAATAATTATTTAATTTAATTAAATTAATTTATTTATTTATTTTCAATTTGACCAGAGAGAGAAAGTGAAAAAGGCAAGCCACCAGGTCAGGACTTGAACCATAGTCGGTTAAGTGGGAGTCTAGCTCCTTAAACCACTACGCCACCTGCCAGCCCCAGTAGACTGCAGATTTATAACGACTACAGGCACAACCCTCCAGATACCCCTGCTGCCCATAACTCCCTCCACCTACCTCTCTTCCCATGGCAGTGGGAATTCAGCCTGCCCCGCGGCTGCTTCCCCCCTTTATGTTTCTGCTAAAGGACACACTAAAGTTTGTCTTAAATGCTACTGTGAATACAAATTAGTCAAATCATCTCAGGAATTTAAAAATGGTTGAAATATCCATCTATGAAAGAGATCGCTTGCTCTCTAAACAAAAGCCCTTTCCCCACCTCTTCTTCAGCTGGACTTAAGAACTGCTTATGTTCAAATCAGAAACTAGCAAATAAAAGTATACCTCCTGTCCCGTACTTACCCCAAATGACAGATGGGTATTTCCAAATGCCTACCGGATGCTGTACCTAGCTATTCCATAAAACTTGAAAATAAACTAAACTAAAGCTATTCAGAAACCAATTCTTACCTTCATCCCTGCATCTCCAGAATTTCCCATTTTGGTGAGTAGCACAGCTATATAAGCAGCCAATTACTCTGTAATCTAAGAAATAATTCTTTTCTTTCGGTTATTCCACAACACTTTCCGAGCAGCTTTTTGTTTAAGTATAGGAACCTGTCAGTGTCTGTTTTTTTTGTTTTGTTTTGTTTTTGACAGAGTTTTGTTAATATTGTTCTCAACCCTCTTGCCTCAGCCTTCCCAAGGTGCTGGGTTTATAGAGGCAAACTACCACACCTTGCCTTTAAGGCTGAATAGAGACTCAAACTAGGCCTATCATGTTCTAGCCGGTAAAGGGCAATGTCTTAGCTATGTATGACACACTTCCTGACCCTGAGCAGGTATTTTCAGGGCTCCTGAATGCTTCTGGAAACTTCCACGTGGGCTCTATTCCCACCACTTTAGTTAAAAACATTGAGATGATGTGCAAAGTATTACAATGAACTAGTACTGACTTCCAAGTCTCTAGTCTAATCCCCTCACCAACCATCTTAGATATTGCCACTAGAATCATCTCTCTAAAATGCAAACATGCTTATGTTACTCCCATTTTTCTGTCAAAAATCCATCAACAGTCTCCATGAAAAAGATGAAGTCCAAACTTCTTAACGTGGCATATAATGCTGTCCATTACGTGCCTCTCCCGTTTGAATCTCTAATTGCAGCAGAACTACCTGCCTTTACACAGTGTGCTGTATTTTCTTAAAGCTCAAGCCCTTTTACATATTGCTCCCTCTGATAGGACCAGATTTTCATCTCTTGACAATTCTGATTTTATATCTAATACCCCCATAGTGTTTTCTCCTCACCCAAAGCCTTTCTGGCTGATAGACAGCGGAAGTCTCTAAAAATACTGAGCACACTACCATAAGTGTCTGTGCATCTGCCTTCTCTCTCAACTTTAAGCTCCTTGTTAGCAGAAATTTTGTCTTTTTCATTTTGTTTTCATAGCCAAATACAAAATAAATTGAAAATTTACCCAGTAGATACACATTTGAAATTACAATGGTATGGTTTTGAAATCTGAATTTAGCAAGTTATGCTTCATGGCAATGCTTCCCTTTTTTGTTTGTTTTTTTTGTTTTTGTTAGGTTACCTTTTAAGCAGCTACCCTTACTGTACCTGGAGATACAAAGGAAGACTCTTCTGAATTGCAGTCAGCATAGGTGCAGGCAGCTCCTTTTCTTGTTGTAACACTGTATGGGGCAGTAGCAAACAGTCTATGATCCGGAAAAGGAGTTTTTGGGCTTTGGAGGTGGCAAAGATTTTTGCCCATGATTTAACAAGAATTCCTAACAAAGAAGAGAAGTAATATTTATGGTTATTTTCTAACTAGAATGTTTTGTCATTAAATGAAAAAAAATGTGTTTTTAAAGTACACACAACCAACTTAACATAGGTGGTAGGAAGATACATACGGTAAGATCAGAAAATTTAAATCAAAAGATTAACCTAAATCACATATTTCACTAAAGAGATAAAAATCTCCCAGAATTCTGGGCCAAGAAAAAGACACATATTTTGTAAGCTATTGGCACTTAATATATTTATACTTACACTCACAGTGTGGTATATATATATATATATATACACATTAAATGCTATATAGACTGAATGTTGAAATTAACCAGGTTTCTGTTTTTGCTTTGACTGCTAGAAAGAACAGAGCCAAATTAATCCAACTTTAAGCACACTGTAGGATTATGAAACATACTTTTATGTCCATGCTAGTTTTTTCCTTGGGCTTTATCATCCAACTCTACATGAATTTTCTTGATACCATTTTCTCTTAATTTTTTTTCTTAAATACAGTTTTACAGGCTGCCTCTATTTAGTATATAACAAAAGGTATAACTAAACTTAATTGTTATAATAGGATTAGTTCTAACATCCTGAAGAAATCACTTAACCTTCATGAACTTCAGTTTTCCTATCTTTCAATTACGTAATATAGACAAACACAATTTAGATTCTAAACATAGAGATTTACTACTTGAAATATAATTTGGTTTCCTGGACGCGAGAAGTCTGTCAATTGCTACACTTGATGATAGTACAGCTAAAGAAATGGCATCTTTTGTTTAATGAAGTAATTAAGAACATACATAGATAATTCCCACAGGGTGTATTATTGCTATTGAGGTCTTCTTTATAACGAATGACTTCAAACACATATTAAGCACTTGTGTGAACAGCACAGTGGGACACCTACTGCATAAACTTTTATATTTTATTCCATCTTAGAAAACAAAAATGATAATAAAATGCAAAGGCATCTCCATTAAACAAAAAGTTTAAAATTCAAGCTTTAAAGGAAAACAAAAATATGCTGATCAAATACTATATTTATGTTAAAATAACAGTCAATAATAACCTCTAAGAACAACAAATAGCAACATTAATCTTCTGTGGTAAAAGAAGTACAGTATCAATCATAAAGAAACACGATGTTCACTTAGCAATATGTTCAAGAAAGCTGGCTAGCTCCTCATTTTTTTGGGTAGGTGGTAAACTTGAATATGACAGCAATGCAAGAAGAACTCACATTCTAACTAACATTAATATACCGGTAAGAAGAACTGACATCACCACTGATGTTTGAAATGATTCATATCACTCCCAGGTGTCATGCAGCTATTACTTAGAGCATGAATCTACCAACCCCAAATGCATCATCTACCCTTGTATTTCATCTTCTGCCATGGTTAAAACCCTTTGTGAAGACCAAGTTTTGTGAGTTCATGAAAGGCAGAGGTAATACATTCAGTTTGCTGTTATATCAGGTACGACTTTTTTTTTTTTTTGAGAGGGTTTTTTGCTATAGGGCGCGTGTGCTCGCCAGACAGAGAGAGACATAGAGACAGAAAGCGAGAAATCAACCCCCATGGGGGATGGTCACACCGCAATCCCTTCTCCTCCATTCTCCTCTCGGGATCTTGGGCACGTACGCACACACGCCCGGCGTGAGTTTTAAGCCACCGGGTCCGGGACGCGAACCACGGTCGAATATGTGGGAGTCCAGCGACATAGCCATTACGCTAACTGCTGGTTCCCTCAGGTACTACTTGTAAAGTTTCTACAAAGAATATTTGTGTGTAATGTGGAGGAGTGTATTAAAAGTGCAAAGAGAAAATATGAAGATAAAGAAATTTTTTTTACAGACAAAAATTCTGTAAAAGATTAAAATGTACAGTAGTTTAGTAAAAAAATTTTTTTTTCTGGCTATAAACATATTATTTATTTACTAATGAAACTACAAATTCAGAAACATATCAACACAAAAACATTCCCACTCATCCAAAGAAAACCACTATAAAAGTTCTTGTGTATGTATATATTTTCTACTCTTGTGTATAATGGATTGAAATCATTACAATAAACATTTAAATACCTATTTATAGATAGATAGCAATTTTGCTCATATATGATATACTATATTTTGCTCATATATGATATACTATAGCTAGGTTTATAAATTACTATTTTCACTTATTTTTTTTAGTATATGCCATTTCTGATACTGGAGAAAAATCTTTGTTATGCTTTGCATAATGGTTTGCCCCTTAGTTTCATGTTTTGGAAGATGGTCTTTGTAGATGGTGGTTGGATATACCGAGAAATTCATATGTTGAGACTTAATTGAATTGATATTATTTTAAAGATATTAAATGAAAAAAATTTTTTTAGTGGCAGGATTTTTCACATTTTTATCGCAAGGTATAAAATATATGCGATCAATAGTGTTACTTTGGTTGAAACAGCTGGGAGGTATACTTGACTCTTTATCAAGATTATCTTCCATCGAATTACCCATAGCCAGGTTTCTGCAGGTCTGAAATTTTCTTTCCACTGGATAGGAGTATAAAGTATAAAGTCCAATTGATGATATTTTTCTTATAAAAAAGAAAAAAAGAAATCATAGTCAAGTTGTCTTAGTCTTAAGGATTTCTGGATTTTGTCCTTGGAGGAGGTCAGATCTTCCCAAGGCCTGGGTCCTTGAATATTCTTCCAGTCATTAAAAAGCAATGTCCTTTATTTTCTTGTACTCCGACTCTAAAGATATTTTGTTTTCAGTTTTTTCTCCAATTCAGGATCAATTTTAATTTTCACAGTATCATTCAGGATTTGCGAAAACTCATGAAGACTGAAAGAGCCTCTAACAATCAGCCACATGAGGACTCCGTAGTGAAGGGCCTGTTCTTGCACTAGACACACATCCTTGAGGGTGCAATCATAACTGAACTCTCCGACCCCCTCAGATGTCTCTCTAAACAGGCCCCAAGCATCCCCCCATATCTTAGAGGTCCATGCTCCCTCCTAGAAAAAGACATCCTTTACTCACTTCTCTTCTTTGGCTGCTAGGTGCGTGATTCTGCTTAAGAGTAAAATTAACTCCTTGGCATTGTTCCCAGGGTGAGGCTTTTGGGTGTGATAACATCACTGGAGCAGAGTTGCTATGAGTGAATCATGGAGGATATATACTCAGAGTGAATGAAACCAGAATAGCTGAGACCAAGCCACATGGATACGATCTTGCTCTGTCCTGCTAAAAAGTTCTGCCTTCTGTCATTTACAATGCCTCTGGACTTTTTAGCCACCAGAATTGTGAGCCATTAAATTTCCACTTTTTTATAATTCACTTGGTCTCAGGTATTTCCATTAGAATTCAATAACGAACTAAGACACTCTAACCAGCATATCCTCAGTTCCCAATCCAGTGCCTGATATATACTCAGCGCATATTCTTTCTTGTTCAAAATACACCTACAGAAATAAAACATTCCAAAGATAAGGCTACTACTCTGATAAGCTTAAATTTAATGGGGTAATGCCAAATACATCAATAATATAACAAATGGCAAGCTATAAAAAAGTAGTACTGTGACCAGCAGGTGGCACTGGATTCCCACATGGCTGACACCATGGTTTGAGCCCCACACCAGGTGAAATCACACTGTGTATGTGAGCATATGTACCCAAGATTCTGAGAAAAGAATGGAGAAGAGTTTGTGGAGTGACCATCTCTCTTCAGGGCTCATTTCTGTGTGTGTGTCTCTGGTCAGTGCATGTGCTCTAAAGTAAAAACTTAAAAAAAAATTATACATGATATATTATACTATATATTATAATATATATATATATACATATATATATATATTTTTAAACTGGCCCCATGGCCTGGTAGTTAAGGGAGCCAGATCTCACATGTCTGACCACATGATTCAAATCTTAGCCCTGGCAACTTAACAAACATGTTGGGAGGATGTATGTACATGCCCCAGATCCTGACAGGAGGGATTGCAGCATGACTATGACCCACTGAGATATATTTTTCTCCCTCTCCTGCTCTGTCTCTATCTGAAAAGTGCATGTCTCTTGGCAAATTAAAAAAATAAATAAATAAAGAAGAACACATGAGGGAGACCAAGTCTACCTAGGAATGAAAGAAAGGTAGAGACATCCAGGCTGCACACTGAAGTGTCACAGCCAGAACTACAACTGCAGCTACAAAACAGCAAAAGAATAACTAGAGACAGGGATGACCAAAAGAAAAGACATGGAAACAAAAAGTATAATAGGGAAAGTTTTTTAAACATAAATAAAGAGAAAGGAAACTGAAAATATTACTGATGGATCAGCACTACCGTTTCAGAATTTACTAAGTTACAATTAGGATCCCATTGATAGATGCCTTCCTTAATAGGGAGTATAACTGCATCCACAGCCTTGTGCCTTTAATTAGCAATCTTGTAAATAAACAACAGAAATATTCCCAGTTAGGAGCTGGCAAGGTAAATAAAGCAAAAATTTCCAGTGGCTTAACTTCTTCCCTCAAGTGCTTGTGATATCCTAATCCTAATACTTCACAATAGGTCTCCATTTTGTTTTAAACCTTTCACATGTAGAAAATTGTAAGTTACTTGTTGCTAATTTCTATTGTAATACATAAATAGGCCACACTGTATCAGGATACTCTCTTCTTAAGTCTTTGAGACAGACCCCACAAAAGGAAAGAGTATAATTTACCTGCTACCAAGTCAAAAACCAGGAAGGCAGCAGAAAGACAAAAGGACCCTCAAGTCTTCCTTAGTACAGTGTAGCCCCACATCTTTATATCCCCAACCCAAACCCAAACATGATTCTATAGTTCTTGAAGACCATCATATATTTACAAATAAAGATATATTCGAAAATTCTACATTTAGCTTGGCAAAAATATGAATCTGGGAACACCTGAAAACCTTTTTAGAGCCTAATAAATAATAGCCTACATGCCAAAATACTTATTAATCTACAATTTATTTTGTTAACTTATAACTAATTCCTACTTATATTTTTCTCTAAAATTAAGACTGAATTGCTATCACTGCTTTCACTACATTTTACATCATTCATATTTACACATTTTCACATTCTCCTTTATCTTTCACAACAAAGATAAAAGGTTTCAGACAGCCCAAATCAGTTTTTTCATATGTTCACAAGATTAAAGGGAGCAGATATAAGCTTTTGGCCACAGAGAAGGAAAAAAAAAAAAAAACCTTAAATTCTATATAAAAACTTCTAAGGAAATGCTTCTCATTTACTTTATCCAGTTCCTATTTTTGGTTAGCAACATGGTTTTAGTGAACAAAGACATTCAAATTACTGACTTTCTAAAGAAAGATGAACTCTATTGTTAACAGAACAGGCATAGAAAAAGATTTCTTTTTGAAAAGAGAAAAAACATAGTATTGTGTGAAACAAGATTTGAAGCATAAATAACTTTAATGCTGCATTAAATCCTCTTCTGACCTCCTTCATATATAGATCATAAAATGGAAAAAAGTGATGGGTTTCTGATGCTTTTAATTCCAATAAAGTATAGATAAGCATTTAAAAAAAGATATTCAAATATTCACAACGTGATTTAAAATAGACTACTGATAACAATTAGTGTTTGCATATTCTATTTCAATCATAGTTTATTAACACAAGCACAACAAAAATACCAAAAGAGACAGAGGAAGATAAAGATGTACTTGAAAGCCCGCATGAATTATTTTACAATACATCTCTGATTTCAGATTATTTTTATGATTGTATGGAGAGTAGTGATTTAGCCAGTGTATTCCTATCTACCATAATACTTTAGGCCAAACCTAAATAAATGTTACTAGTCAGGAATACATACCCATCATTCCATAAGTCAGCTGCAGGCCTGAACTAGAAATTTTTTTTCCCAAATAAGGTTTTATATATTTTAATACTTCACCGAGGTATTCTAAAGACTTTGTGACCATGGCAGATTTATCGGAAAGTGCCTGGAGATTTCCGTAAGTTATACCAACAGCCTATAAATAAAGGAAAACATTATTCAGCTTTCCAACTTTTATGTAATACAGACTTTGAGAAATACAGATAAGTTCTCTCTCTCTCTGTCTACACACACACACACACACACACACACACACACACTCCCTTCCATTTAAGCCTTCACTCCATTAAAGGTTCACAGTAATTAAAATACAAGTGAAAATAACTGTCTTGCCTAGCTTAAAATAAAGGTTAAAGAAATAACAAAAAAATCAATTCACCAATAATTATTTGACTAAGCAGAGTATTAGTGAAAATAAAACTGAAATTTATATACGAAAAGCTTGTAACCAAATCACATCAAGACTTACACACAGGTTGGCTTGTGATAGTTCTAGCAAATCACCAGGAATTTAAAATCCTCAAATTCCTACAAGGAAGACCTCCAAATAATGACACCAAATTCTTACATGTAAAACATCTATAAAGTTCAGCTTAATGGGGGCCAGCAGGTAGCGTGGTGGTTGTGGGCACTGGACTCCCCACATGGCCGACTGCGGTTTGAATTCCAGACCTGGCGGCTTGCTTTCTTATTCCACACACTTCTCTCTCTGTAACTGTCTCTCTCTGGTCAAATTTAAATAAATGAAAAATAAAGTTTAAGAAAATAATAATAAAATAATTCTTTAAGAAAAAAAAAAAGTTCAGCTTAATGTACTGGCCTCATGGCCTAGTGGATCAGAGAGCTGGATCTCACAATGGCTTTCAGTGGTTTGAGTGATGCTCTGGTTGCTTGGAAAAACACCAAGTTTTTGTACACATGTGTCCAAAATCTTCACAGGATTTAGAAATGGAAAAGGGATGTTATAGCCACGCCCAACTGGGGGATGCTTTCTTCTTCTCCCTCCTTTTTCCTCTCCCTCCCTCTCTCCCCTGTAAGCACATGTGCCCTCTGGCAATTTAAAACACACACACACACACACACACACACACACACACGGTCAGCTTTAAGATAAAATGGATTTTTTCCCAAGATTTCTTTTTTTTTTTTTAAATTGCCAGAGGGTATCTATGCTCTCCAGAGAGGCAGAGGGAGAGAAAAAGGAAGAAGCACCCCACATAAGGCACTAGTCACACTGCAGTCTTGTCCCCTCCCTTTCATCTAATCAGGATTTTAAATAAGATGTGCCCGAAATTCCAAGAGGAAAATGTTTCCTACACTTCATTCCCTCAACCGAAAGTTCTCATACTTTTTTTCCTGTTTCCTTCCACATTGATAAAAACTAAAAATGTTAAAGGGCTTTTTATTATTTGGGTTATATCTGCTGATATATACACATATACTATATTAGAAAATTTTAACTATTTTTTAAAAATAATTATTTATTTAATTTTATTTATTCATTCATTTATTTTAATTTGACCAGAGAGAGATACACAGAGAAAGAGAGGGATTTTTTAAGAGAAAGCAAGCCACCAGGTCCGGTACTCGAACTGCGGTCGGCCATATGGGAGTGTCCAGCACCCTAACAACCACGCCACCTGCTGGTCCCCTAACTTATTATTAATAGTTTATTTAAAAATAGTACTAACTGTTACCTGTTAATATAAATAACATATTTAAGAAAAAATTACTTTTTGAAACAAAAAAATGAAAATAGTGGTATTTTTTATTACTCTTTTCAATGTCTGGCTCAATAGGAAGACAGCTAGATTATCAAACGTGCTTCTGTACCCAATTTGTAACATTTGCAGATGAAGAAAATCCAGTCTCACAAATACATGTAGCTATAGGACGAAAAAGTTTTTGTCTTTTTTTAAAGCTTATTTATTTACTAAGAGGGTTTGACTGGACAAGGGTGTGCTCTCGACAGGGTCCCTGACTGTGATCTTCTCCTCAGACCTGCAGCAAGCCAGGATAGTGTTTGCAACCAGCATGCTGAGGCAGACCTGGGATGCAAGCCTGGAGCCTTGCCAGATGGTCTCCAGCACTGTAAAGCAGCTCCCCTAATGCCTATGTCACTGCAAAATGCATTTATTTATTCCATGAGTGGGATATGCAGCGAGAGAGAGGGAGGGAGAGATACAGCAATCCCCAAAATGTCCTCATGCCATGATCCACACCCAGCCTCAGCTAGTCCAGATTACAGGCACATACATGCCCTGGCATCAGGAAGATCACCAGACTTGACCTGGTAACCCCAGTGTGGATCTGCCTCAGAGTGTTGCATTTTACCCCGTGCCACTATCTGGCCCCAAAGAAAGTATTGTAATCAATTTTTCAGATAACTATGGGACTTCTTTTCTATTATACCAAAACATAATATGTGACATTAAAAAAAAAAATTCTTGTCATTTCTTCATTCATCCATTCATTCACTCATTCCTTAGTTTGCTCTAGGGTGTGTATCTTACTAAAGAGAGAAAGAAAGAACATGGAAAAGCACCTCCTCCCCCAGAAGGGATAGTCACACTGCAATCCCTTCTCCATTCTTTTTTTCAGGATTATGGGCACAGATGCACATACACCCAGAATGTTTCTCAAGCTGCAGGATCTGGAACTCAAACCGCACAGTCAGCCATGTGGGATCCAGCTACTTCAACTACCATACCACTAGCTGGCCCTTCTTTTATTTTCTTTCATTCTAATTTTGCCAGAAGAGTCATGTGCTCACCAGAGACACAGAGGTACAGGGAGAAAGCAACCCCCAATGGGGTGTGGTCATGCTGCAATCCCTTTTCTTTTCTCCATCCTGTAGGGATTATGGGCACAAATACACATGCACCTGGCATGTCTTTGAAGCTACTGGGACCAAGATTCATATCACAAGGTGGGTCCTGTGGGATCCAGCTCTCTTAACCACCAGGCCACAAGCCAGAGCAACAAGTGGTATTTCTTAAAGCTAAGTTGTAACTAAATCATGGAATCTGAAGACTTAGGGAATCTAAAACCATGTCAATGAACACTTCAAACTTTTCTATAAGTCATTGCTTTATCTTGTACTTTGATTGACGCCTACACTATGGATGCTTTTTAAAATGTCTGTACAGGTCATTTGGAAGTTTTAATTCACAGAGTTATGCAGGTTCTCATTGCTGACACATTCCATTACTCAGATCAGAAAAAAAAAGCATATCATTAACACTACCACCAATCTCATCAGAAAAGTCTGTATGTATTAGGAAGCTCTCAAGCTTATGATGGCAAATACAAGTTTTCAGAATTTTAATTTTCTTGAAAGTCTGAATTATATTATTAAGCAATAAATACTGTCAGTTGTTTTCTTTGAAGTGATAGGCTTGCTTCATTCATTTTTGAGAAAATGTCTGCCAAATATCCAAGTCTGAATAACCACACTTTGTCAGTTGTTCTTTCAAGATAAAAGCAGTCAGTTCAGCTTGCAACTCAAATAATCACACAAATGCTTTTCATTTAGACAACCACGTTGCTTTGGTATGCAGTGAAAGTGCTTTAAGTACCCTTCACGTTGCCATTCAAAGACTATTAAAAGGACATATACTCATGGGTCAAAATTGAATAAAATTAATAATTTTACTGCTTCATTAAGAATATTCTTAAGTAAAACTGGCCTTTTTTTTCTCTCTGAGTACCTGAAAGTGTAATTATAATGACTACTAGCATAATTTTGGGCCACAGTATTGATTCATGCTAAAGCTTTTGCACTATTCGTGCAAATGTCAATATAGTTTTGAGCGTGTGGGCCTTCCCGACAAGTTTATCAGTAACCCTTAGAGGTCTATGAGTCACACTTTCAAGCACCAATGCCCTAGACATCTCAGTATTTCTCTAGCTTTCGTTGTAATGCCCCTAGACTAAAAGATACGTATTTTTCAGTACCTTCATTTTAACTACTTATGTGTTTTAATATAATTACTGTGCAGAAAAGAGTCAACATACTAGCCCAAGATTTCTCTCCTGTAAAACACCTACTTGCTAGGCTTGCCCCACACGGCTGGCATTTGGATCATTAGATTCTAGGAGGTTTCCCACCATTCTGTGATAAGAATGCCTCACTGTACCTATACTGTCTGTGCACACAATATGGTTCATGCTGAATGCCTGCATTTCCTTGAGAAGTCTGGAATCCGTGTGAGGCAAAGGGGAATAGATCAGCAACCAATAAAAATCATGGGTGCTGAGTCACTAATGTGCTTCCCTGGTAGATAATATTTCACATGTCTCATCACAGTTCCTGGCAGGATGAATTGACTACATCTGCATAACTTCACTCAGAAAAGATTCTCAGAAACCATGCCTGGCTTTTCCAGACTTCATCCCATGTACCTTTTCCTTTTCTGATTGTACGTTGTAATCATCCTCCATAAGGCACAACTGTGATAGAGCTATATGCGAGCCCTGTGACTGTCCTACTGAACCACAGAACCTAGGGATGATCTGGGGGATCCATGACTCAACCTCAAACTAATCAACTTTCAAAGTAAACTCTTTGCTTTGCTTCTCTCCTGAATCATGATGTTCCCACTTATCCTTAAGATGTCATTATTTTTCCAGTTGAACACAGTGTTTATATCATATCCACTCACTAGTTTTTGGCCAATAGTTCTCCAGTATTTTTCATCCACTCTATTGTTACTAATTTTCATAAAAAGTCATCAGATCAAATGAAACCTATTTAAAAACTTACAAAGTCCTCACATCCTTTATAGGATAAACTCCAAACTTTTTATACCAAAATGTTCTGAATTCTTTACCTACTGATTGATCTGTCAACCAACTGGCACTTACTACATAATGCCTTGCGCTATTATTTATACTTCAGTGTCCTGTGCCCTCAACAAAAGTTCTCCGAGATTAAGGAGCACTACGTTTCATTTTCCAAATTCCTAAGAATTCTTATCAAAATACTATGTAGCATTTAACTAAAAGTTATCATTTACATAGCGATGAAAGAATACTTACTTTAGGCTGGATTAAATTAAGTGAGCCTTTGAAAATTAGTCACGGAAAGCTTGACATCTACCTCTCTTTCTGATCTATTAGTAGTATAGTTCAGCACACCATAGTGTTAAATTAATTGCAGGTTGAGCCAATAAACAACTAAATAATGGGCTCAAAAGAAATGTTTATTTTATATTTCCATACACTATCATACTAAATTTTTAGAATTTATATGACATCTCTAATTGTTATATAATTGCAGTTTAACTTAAAGGAAATCAGTGGAAAACTTAACATTCATTCGAAGAGTTTATTGGTTATAATTATTTTCATTGCAATTAATGCCAACCACTTTATGGAAAAATAAACTACTATGAATAGCTTATAAAATGAACTAATCCAAACACATCAATAGCCTCAACTAGGGTTGTAAAACAAATACTATCACATAAGCTATGTAACTGTAAAATTAATCATTAAAAATGAAATTTTGAAGAGGATTATTTATTATAGACAAAGCAAAATTAATTAGATAGGAATGCCCTGATCATACTGTAACATGAAGTGGTTGATGCTTATGCTTACACTGATTGCTATAGGGTGGTAAACATTAAATTGGAATCATAATGTATCCTAGACAAGGAAATTTAGTTCTCAAGTACCTGAAGCATGTTGTTACCTGGCTATTTCAGCAATAAGCTACCCCAACAATTTAGATTATTCTTGGAGTAAGCTCTTATGCAGTATTCTTTAGTTTTATTATGCTTCATTAAATATAATTTTTCTGCTATCCTTAAAAGTGAATTGTACTATATACATCAAATTTATACTTTTCTTCTTCCATAATTTTTTAACAGCAGGCAAACAATTTTATGATTTAATTATTAGAAACTAGTTTCATAGAAAAGTATTAAGAACACTTAAATTTTTCTGAAAAATAATTATAACCAACTTGGACAATTATATCAATAAATGAAAAATACCTCAAGAAATTGAACAAGTGCTTTTTTAGGGTCTTCAGGGAGAGGTAAATATTCAACTTGAGCCTTTGAGAAAATATTCTTTACTTCTGACAGTTTAAACAGTAATCTTGTCAGTTCAGCCAACTGTTCCATGTATTCTTTTTCTGTAAAAATAAAATACGACTTACGCTTGTTATATAAACTTGCAAAATAAAATTAATAGTTCATATATATGTATAGGAGCAGAGAATATAGTATTCTTCATTTATTACATGCTCATTTTTAAATTTAAAATTTCCACATGCAAAAGAAAAAAATAAAACTTTCAATTAGGTTTCTCTCACTTACGAACATCCAAGTCCTAAAATTTATTCATGCAAAGACAAACGGTATAATGAGTTATCAAATTACATTTGGGGCATTTTTTTCAGGTTATCTTTGTGAAATTTATGAATGACCATGAACAACAGCTTTAGGAAAAGTCATCTCCTATAGACAACAGAACTGTATGGGAGAGTTAAAAAATACAAGTATCACTCATTGAAAAATTGTAAAGTAGAAGAAAAGAAAAAGAACTGGGACCAGCAGGTAGCATGGTGGTTAAGGCACTAGACACTCCCACATGGCTGACCAGGGTTTGAGTCCTGAATCTGGTGGCTTGCTTTCTCACTTCGTCTCTCTCTCTCTCTCACCCTCTGTCTCTCTCTGGTCAAATTAAAAAAAATAAATGAATGAATAAATAAATAAAATAATAATTTAAAAAAAGAGGAAAAGGAAAGGAACTAATATAAATAGGAGAGAATTATTCATCACTGGATATTTTTAGGATGTTCACAGTATGATATCTGGTTACTTACTTCAGATTTCCACTTTTTTTATGATCTGTTTCTTTAGGGTAAAAAAAAGAGCTTGTTACTTGAGGAGCAAGTTTTTGTTCTTGGCTTCCAAGGAATCAAGTTCTTTTTATCTTTATAGCAAAGAAATTTGTCATATATAGTAACAAGAAAAAGAAAAGGCCTCAAAAGGAAATAAATTTCTGCTTATAGTCACATCTAATTACAAATATATTTTTTATATTTTCTATTAATTTACATAACAATCTAGTCAGCAGAAACCTTTCTATAGATTCTCCTCTGCCCCCCACACCTGCAATACTTAACTTACCAATTTCCCGTTCAGTATTTACATCAATGAACAAATCATCAGGCCCAGAGAGGTTTGTTACATACATTTGCAAAACACAACGGATCCATGATCTTATAGTTAAGGCTTGAAAAGATACACAGACTGAATGGGAAAGTGCTTCACATAAGGTACTGTGAAAAAAGTTGACAAATATTAAAAATAAAAATGACAATATGCTCCTTTAATATTGAGATTAAGGAGTAAAGGAAAACAGTCTAACATTCCCTCCACTCCTTGGTCTCACTTATTTTTTACACCAACATACTAATGTAGACATGCTTTGCTAAAAATGAACACTGTACTCAGAAAGATATTTGTTTCCCACTGATGACACACATACAGACTTATGCCAAGAGAGAGGTTAAAGAAGAATACAATTAAAATGGGAAAGGAAGACTGCAATGGTGTATGAACAGCAGTGTCACCACTTGGAAAGCTGGAAGCCATAAAAGAGGCCTGAGTTCGGTCCCTGGGCCAATCTGAACACACCTGTTGCCTGTGCCTGTAATCCAGGCTAACTGGGGGGCTGGGACAGTAAGACTGTGATACAGTGAGATCCTGTTAAGGATGCCTACCTGTCTCTCTCATTTTTCTTCTCATTCCACTTCCTCTCCCTCTTATAAAGTAAAATAATGGGAAAACAAAGGGACTTATATAATTCAACTAATATAATAATGAAGGAATAGTAAAAGAAAAAAAAATAGTGGCCCTTAGTAAGTAGACAGAAAAGAGGCAATGACCTAACATCAAGAAAAAAGTTAAAAGATAAAACTATATTTTCTGTGGTTCTCCTGACTAATCTTATTCCTGTCTCCTCCTTTCTTGCTCCTCCACTCCACAGGAAGTCATCATTAAAGATTACTTCACACCAAATCCCTAAATAACATCTGCCAGAAATGTAAAGAAAAATTCTTCTACAAAGCCAAAGGCGTGACTAAAACTGCTTCCAATCCATTTACAGGTAGGGGTAGAAGGGTGTAGACAGTCTTAATATATAAATGTTACATAAAGTCAGAAATTTTAAAAATACATGTAAATCACAACTCTAAGAATGCTGAAATACTTGGACTCTAAGTTGTAAAACACAACACAAAACAGCATAGACTGGACACCTTTTATCTACCTAACTTTCCCAAAGCTATTCAATACCTTTGTGTCTCAATTTCTTCAACTGTTACTTATAAACTAGTATCCTTTTTAAAACATAGCTCAAATAATTTCAACAAAAGTGTTTAATAAATAATATCAATGCTGATTATTATCATAAAATTAGCAAGCTAGAAGGGCTCATAAAAATGCTGAACTTCCTTATTTTATAACTGAAAATACTAAGTCTTCAAAAAGTTCACAGAAAATGTATACTATGAAAAAGAATACATGTATTTTAAAAATGTTTTGCACCAAAATAAACTTGTACTTAAATAAATTTTCTGTAAGCTTTCTGATGGCTCCTCACTAACTACATCTCTCTTCATTTTCATTGACCAGCAGCTTGGATAAAAAGTATATTGGCCTGTTATGCCTGTATATTTCTTTTATCTTCCTTTATCTTAATGTTTTTTATTTAACTCTTTTTAACCATTCTATTTTTACTTTAATGTTACTTATTGTATATTTTCTATTGATGTTCTTCAGATCTCCTTTGTAACGTGGCAATTAATACTTACACATAAGAAAATCGTTGTTCAGGTGAAGTGCCTTGTTTACAATCTCATAAATTAAGAGTAAAATCTTTAAAAACCTAAAGTATTTTAGATTTTTAACTAAAACTATAATAATATATCAGTGTCTTACAGATTTAACAATAATAACTATATAATTTCTTTCACAATGGGGAGTGTAGAAGAGTCATTTCAGGATGATAGAAATTTAGAAGAGTTTAACCAACATTTTTTAAAAAGTAGGTCATGATACATAAGTAAACTTTCCTACTATTACCATTGTCAAAATGCTAATACATAAACATAAAAAAGAAAGAAAAAAACCTGTCCAATAAGAGTATATATAGTAAAGATCAGTTTTCATTTGTGCAAACTCATACCTTCACAGGATATTAATATACTATCAGCTTGTATTAATGAGTATGCCTGAAATAAATGCACATACCTATTTTGTAGCAAATGACTTAAATATCTTGCTACAACTTGTGGCCAGACGATATCATCCCAACCAAAAAGTTGAATTATTGACACAACTGGCTGAGGCTGAAGATCAGATGGCGCTGTACTTGGCATGTCTGTTGCTAGCAAAGTGAAATCTAGATTTAAAATGGGAGAAATTTAAGGTAAGAATTTCTTAAAATTTAATTTTATTTATTCATTCATTTATTTTAATATGACCAGAAAGAGACACAGAGAGAGAGACAGACAGACAGAGAGAGATAAAGTGAGAAAGCAAGCCACCAGGTCCAGAACTGAGCTCCGTGGTCGGCTATGTGGAAATGTCCAGCGCCTTCACCACCACGCCACCTGCTGGTCCCAAGGTAAGAATTTTTTAAAAACATTCCTTTTCCACAAATTTTATCTACAATGATAAAAAATTTTAAAGTATCAAATAGTAAAATATCACATTAGAAATGTAGAACAAGCAAAAAGCAAACACTGAACTAAATTCATGTTGCCAAAAAAATTTTCTGTAGCATCATCTCTTGGGTTGCTGGGAAAGTCATGACACATTTTTGCATAGAGAAGCATAAAAAAATACATCACGACTTTCTCGACCTAACAAATCTCCAATAAAACAATCTAAAAGATTCTAACTCAGTGCTGTCATTATGTATATATGAGGCTAACTAAATAACAAATTCTAAGCCTGATGCTTCTCCTAATGTGGTTAAATCGTTCAAAAGACCCATTTTGAGAAATATTTTTAATATCAATTCTTCTCTAGCTGGGCTAATTTACTTATCACCTGCCATAGGTAAAGGATTTGCTCTCCTCCTCTGAGACACTGGACTCTATTGAACAATATCTCCTACACTCGATGATACCCCACCTTCTTCAATATTCACAAAGTCTAGGAACAGAATTCCTTAGGTAACGATGTTAAATAAATATTCTTTACCTTGTGGTTTCCTGAGAATCCACCAACTCAACTGGTATTAAACAATTCATGCTTATGTTTATCAATGAATTATTAAACACAGCCTCCTATGGAACTGTCTCACATGTGGCTGTTTATTTTCCCATTTTCAATACTACCTGACCTACAAATAAGGCAAGCTTACTTCTTGGTCCATATTGCTCCTTCTAGACTATTATCCTTTATTCTTTCCTAAAACTCCTATCTCCTTTGAATCTCAAATCGTCAGATTTTACCAGCCACTCTCTCTGTTTTATCATCTACTGTTTCCTAGTAGGAAACCTCTCCCTATTCCTCAGACAGTAAATCACTATCATTTTCTTCCATGGGACACCAACTAATTTCTCTAATTTACACTCATTTCTGAACGCTAGGGTTGTTATCCAAGTGTCTGCTTAATATATAAAATATTTAAACGAACTTCTAAAAAAAATCTCAAATAAGAATCTTAGTCTTCCACATAAAATCTACTCCTGCCACAATCTTCTTCACCTCAGCAAATGGGTATAGTTTCTTTTAACTATACCCACTGAACCTCTCTTTCTGTATTTTAGTTACCATATCTTACCTATTCAGCAAATTCTATCATCTCAACCTTCAAAACTATATCTAATCTATACCTTCACATGGGAAATCTGTTCAATTCCACAGCCTCTGGTACACTTCAGCCCACACTGCTCATTTCTAGATTGTTCTAATAATCCCTTTAACTGGCCTTCCTGCTTCATCTCTTGCCTCCCTGTAAATCTAATCTGAATCAAGCAGCTAGAAGGCTCATATCAATTCTCTGCTTAAAACTTTCCAAAAGCTTCCTATCTCAGAGTAAGTCTTTTACAAACACTTACAAGGCAGAACACAAGCTAGCTCTCCATAATCTCCAGACCCTCGTTTCTTAACTTCACTCTTTTTTCCTCCCATGAACCTTTACTGCTTCCCTGCAGTTCCTCAAACATACCAGTTTTGATCTTGCTTCTGAACTTTTGTAGAGCGAGGTCTTTCACCCCCTTCAGGTGAAACGCTACTAACTCAGGTTTTCTTAACTATTCTTTAACGTTATAACCTGCCTATGGTATTCCTTAACTCTATTCTCTTCTTATTTTCATTTTTCTCTATAGCATTTATCATCATCTAACATATTACAAATTTTATTTATTTATTTTTTTGAGTCTCCTATACCTAGTCTATAAGCTCCATGGAGAAGGTATTCTTGACCTTTAAAACACACACACACACACACACACACACATACACACAAGGGTCTTCAAAGAGTTCACAGAAAATATATATTATAAAAAAAACCTATGCATGTATTTCAACATCTTTTTGCACCAAAATAAACTTGTACTTTAATTTCATGTTTCCAGAAACTTTTAAAGTTTCTTTGTATATTTCCAATGCCTATAAAAGAAGGTGACTTTCTTTTTATATAAAGGAAATCATCTTCTCTCAAAAGATCAAGTCTTTATTTCAAATCAAACCCTGAACACAAATGGTTTGTTTACATTTATATACCATTTATTTTTTAGCACATAAGACATCACTATCTAAACTGCTGTGATCTATTTTTGTTGAATGATTGGGCAGTCAGGAAAAGGAATATAAGTTATATCAGCTATTAATGGCTTCTTTGGTTAAACTGACTGAATATCAATATTTATTTTCATAGACATTACAGTAGTTGAAAACTGACTGTTTTATTAAGATTCTTTAATTTATCATTGAAAAGTCTTAATTATGAAAGCACTACTAGAGTTCAAGATCTTTTCAAAAAATATCATTCATGCTTTTTGTAGTGCTTTTCTTTCATTCTTTCTTTCTTTTTTCTTTTTTTTTTTTTGCTATTGGGCACATGCACTTTCCAGAAAGACAGAGAGAGACAGAAAGATAGAAAGCGAGAAATCACCCACAATCCCTTCTACTCCATTCTCCTCTTGGGATCTTGGGCACGCACGCACACGTGCCTGGCATGAGTTTAAGCCACCGGGTCCAGGACTCGAACTGTGGTCGAATACAGTTAAGCGGGAGTTAAGCGACATAGCCATTACGCTAACTGTTGGTCCCTGTAGTGCTTTTCTCAGCTTTCCTTATCCACACCGAAGTAAAATAAACAGCTATTTAGATCTTTAGTTTTTAAAAGTATTACATTTAAATACATTAAAGACCTTTGAATACTGTATTCACCCTACTAATCTCTGTGTCTTCTAGTATTTCTTAACGTATTTTGGGCAAAACATCAGTTTGAGAAAAATAATGAACTCCTCTTAGAAAACTGCATATATGCACATGTATTCAAATTACTGCTTATAATTTCATATGATTCAAAGTCCCTTAAGGCTTAAGAACATGTCCTTAGGCTAACAATCTAATTAAGTAAAAATTACAATCTAAAATAGAATCTAGTAGAAGTCAAAACAATAACATTCTATATATTTCATGTCATTCTGATCCCATCCTCTTGCTGTTGAAGTGGTATTCACTCTATATTCTTTTGCTCTTCACATAAATTAACTTCATTTTCTGCCTAGATAGCTGCTCATATAATTTGAAAATAAACTACTTGAATGAGATGTAATCAAATGCTACTTTACTTTCCAAATACTGCACGCACAAGAAAAATTTATGCACATTCAGTGTTTTTAAAATTGAAAATTGTGTTTTTAGCAAATAATTATGTAATTTTTATTAAAAAATAAGCTGAAGGATCCCAATTTAAAAATATGTAATTCTTTTACCTTTCTTGCTGTTGAAATGTTTATTACACTGTAATAATGCAAGAGTTTTTTACCAAGAAAACAGAAGAAAATACTGATAAAGAGTGTGCAAAAAAAGAAAGGAATTAGGAAATTAACAATTAATGCTGACCTGCAGCTGCATCTGCAAGTTGTGAGAGAGGCACTGTCTGTGACATTCTCTGACTCTTCAAAAATGAAAAAAAATGTCTCCATAGTGCACTGGCAACTGCAGCAAGGTGGCGCTCTTTAGCTGATAATGAGGACTGTACAGTCAGATCCACATTCTCTCTTTGAAGTTCCTTACACAATTGTTGATGCATACTCCTAAAAAGAAATAAAAATATAGCTAAGATCCAACAGATACAAAATCTTCTTTAAATACATTTTGGGCTTCAGTTATACCATGTGAAACTAAAGGATCATTGTATGTAATAAAACTTTTATACTAAGACATTATGCATTTCTAGTTTTTTGATGGATGAATGATGGCATATTAAGCACCATAAAGTTAATGTTAATTACTAATGTCAACCATTAATTATATGCTTTTTAATATGTCAGATCCAAATGGGAAACAGGCAGCTTCAAAATGACGGTCTGCATTTTGCAACTCACATATGACAAGTGATTTTACTTACTATCAAGAAGGGAATGCAATTTTTAAAACCATTTTCTCCTGACTGCTTTAGAATATGGATGTACCAAGAGGAAGGTAAGTACCCCTGGCTTATATATGGTACTTAAATTAAAACATTTTCTTTGTTTAGAAACAGACAGGCCTTGTACTAATATATAAAACTATGCTGGATAAAATTTTAAAAAGTTTGTCCAAAAAAGATTAATAATCATTTTCACATAACAGACAATCAAAAGGAATAAAAAGTTATTTTTTGTAAAAGAATAAAACAGTATTATACTGCATCAAATTCATTTACTATCATTTCTGCTAAATTCAACTGAAAATTCAGATTATCTCTAGACCTTAATATAAACATACCTGGCAGGAAATTGAGATTACCAGCCTAAAAGGAGGAAATGCTAAGAAATTTTCTGAGTGATCTGGAGTCATTTATACTATACACAGAACAATTAATATGATTACTTAAAACTGAACATGTAACTTCAGTTACACCATACTAATCCCTGTCTGTTATTCCTGTTTGATTTATATTACTGCCAGATCAACTGAGAGCAGAAATAAATGCTGGAGACCATACTTACCTTTGCATTCTTCAATTATATTTAAGGCAGTGCAAAATAATCAATGGAATCGAGGAAGAAGACTTCCTTTAACATAGCAGCACGTTAGGGCTAACCTACATGGTCAAATGGTTAAAATGGCTAGATCCCATATGACCAACTGTGTGGTTCAAGTCCTGGACCCATGGCTTGAAGAATGGGCCAAGAGCATGTATGTGTGCATGATCAAAATCCTAAAACTAGAGAAGAGAGAGGAGGAGGGAGTATGCATGACCATGCTCCATGGGGAGTACTTTCTCATTTTACCACTCTCTCACTAGCAAGCACACATGTCCTATGACTCCCCTCCCCCAAAAAAAGTATTCCCTTCAGAAAAACAATTAGTATTTCTAAAAGGAAAAAATATTAATTCCAATATTTTCTCTTTTTTGGGGGAGAGTTTTTTTTTTTTTTTATTTTAATTCCATTTTTTTTTTTTTTTTTTGGGAGAGGTTTTTTTTTTTTTTTTTTTTTTTATAGGGCGCATGCGCTCACCAAAAAGACAGAGAGACAGAGACAGAAAGTAAGAAATCATCCCCCAGGAAGGATGGCCATGCCACAATCTCTTCTCCTCCATTCTCCTCTCGGGATCTTGGACACACACGCCCGGCATGAGTTTAAGCCACCAGGTCCAGGACTGGAACCATGGTTGACTAGATGGGGAGTCTAGTGACATAGCCATTATGCTAACTGCTGATCCCATATTTCCAGTATTTCCTTAAAGAATTATTTTATTTATCTTCCTTCCTTCCATCCTTTCTTTGTTACTTTCTTTTAATATGACCAGAGAGGGACAGAGCAAGAGCCAGAGAGAGACAGAGAAAGCAAGAAAGCAAGCCGCCAGGTCTGGTACTCAAATGTAGTCGGCCATATGGGAGTCCAGTGCCCCTAACCACCATGCCACCTACCAACCCCTAATTCCAGTATTTTTGATGTTTTTAAACAGCTTATCTAGAAGAACTGACATTTGAAAGAACTATATAAAACAAACATCCAGTACATTAATTGGGTTTTTGGAAAAGTCATGACATATTTTTTCTGTTTTTCTCTACAAAAAAATGCAAGATGTCTTTTCCAACAAGACAGTATAATAAGGCAAATCGACAAGATAAAACTGGTCGCAAGACCACATCTTAATCTGAGAATATTTCACATAACTACATACAAGTCAATAAAAATTCTAAATATAAATCATGTAACATTAGGACCTGGTGCCCCTTACACTGGAATTCCCATACAATAATAGCACTTCTTAAAACTACCTGAAACACTGAGGGGGAAAAAAAAAAGCATACAG